TAATTGAGCCTAGTGCACTAATCTAGACTAAACCAGCACAGATGATCAAGTTATTGCAAGATAAATGGTGTCAAGAAAGAGATGGAGAACAAAGAATCGGCCCCATATTTCAATTTTTGGACCCTAGTAGTAATCTTTGTAAATTATTATTCCAAGCTCAATAAATTAACCATATCTTGGAAAAGCTAATATTGGTTGCATTAGTATTTAACTTATTAAAATTATATTCGTGTTCGTCTTTAATTGGTGTACTTTTATTGTTTCGCTTTTGCTTTCCCATGCAGACTTATTTAATAACGATAATAAATGAATATCACAATTATTGGATAAACAAAAAAAAAAAAAGACAAAACTCTTTTTAGACGAAAAGTTTAAAACTCTGCCGTAGGCATTCACGAAAGTGTCTTTTTTCCTTAAATTTTTAAATGTTGAGTAGGTGAGAATTTCTTTGAGTGATAAATTTGGGGTAAAAATAAATAAATCCGGCATCCAAAATTTAATGTCCTTTTCTTTTCCCCTTTTAGCATGTCGTTGTTCTATCTTCACCAATAAGAATTACATGTCATGAGCTGTGCGTATTCCAGCAAGTGGCATAGGAATATGATTATTTCCATAGTCCACATGCAGACAAATATATGAGCGGAAAAATCAAAGCACTTGAAGAAGGAAAAAGTTGAGTCGACTCGTTGTTGAAGGCCAACAACTACAATCATCTATTTTCCATGAGGATGAAACTTCAAAGATTATTTGAATCTGTCAGTCAAGGCTATGAACTCGTTGATTACATATCTGTATAACACTATGCTGTTCAGAACATTTAAGGACATCACAGTCGTATTATTGCCTCAAACTTCTATAGTCTAAAAGGATATAGTGTGTCTAAAAAGCTAGACCGAATAGCTGTGATAGTTCTCAACATGCCTGATTTTTGGACCTCGCCATTCACAAAGATATACCCATTTTTTCTCATACACCTGTTGGCTTCTCTTGTTTAATAGGAATAACACAATTACCTGAATAAACTCGATCTACCAGTGTACTTGTAAACCATATGATCTATGAAATAGTTTTATAGGTTTTTGTCACATTATCATACATTACCTATTGTCACTTTTCTTACATCTTCACATCATATGACTATTGCTTATACCACATGAACGTGTAAGTAAATTGTAGACTAAGCCTATATAGATATTTTTCTATGAGCGAATTCATTTTTGAACATAACAATCGCCCAAGAAATTTGGTGGTTTTTTGCATCAATGCAGCTACTAAATTTTGTCACTTGGAGGCCTTGTTTTCTTCCTATGAAAGTCACGCAGGAACAATTGATCCAATGAAAATGCCATCCATCACCTCTCATCAAATTAAATACTAATGATTCCTCCAAAGGAAATCCCAGAAGAGCAGGAACAGGATGATTGTTCACGAATCACCATGGAGATTGAACGTTAGGCTACAGCAGGAATTGGCATCACTACTTATTCGGTTGCTGAAGCATATGGGCTATTAGAGATGGTCTTCAACTTGTTCAAAACAATCATTCTCACCTTGTTATAGAATCTGATTCATAGGCTATGTATGGTCCTCTTAATGCTAATCACACTGATAATCATCTTTTGTTTCCGATAGATTGTGGGGTTTTAATCATTCAACTGACTCGGGTGAATGACCCGACATGGTGCAGAACTGCAGATCAACCATCAGGAGAATGCCTTTTTTTCATCAATCTCCTTTCCTTTCCCTGTTTATTTGTACAGAACTCTACTCAGTTAATTAATGCAACTTCTTTTTCCTACCAAAAAAAAAAAAATTTTATTAGTGCAACAATTAGTTGGGGAAAATGCAAAGAACGAAAATCAAATGTTTTTGTCTTTTTCTTGTACCTTATAGAATCAAGACGCGCCAATCTGATCTCGAACCACTACTTAATCAGTTTTTAGCTTGAAGTAATCACAAGGCTGCTACATGATGAATTTTGCGGGGACAAGAAAGACAAGATTAGGCAATTTTCCCCTAAAAAATTTAGCATGTCCACCTCAAATCATATTACCAATTTAGCACCAATTACAGAAAGCTTAAATAGATAGAAAATGCTCTAGCATAATAAGGGGTGAATAGCAAATCATCCCCTGTATTTATGAAATACACAGATTACCCTTCAAGGCTAACAGTTAAACACCAACTTTAACCTTCCGCCTATGCAACTAGCAAAAATATCATTATACCATCGGATAATTTATCTATTTACAATTTTACCCTTTTGACGTCAAAAAGTAAAAATCTCATTCCAAATTTGCTCTTCTAATAGAGGAAAACTATCATGTGATGGGAAAAAAAATGTCCTTCTGTGCAATTCATCTGATATGCATTATTAATGAAAAAGCCATTTTTTTTAATAAATTCTGGTGTTTCATGTGTATTTTACAATTTCCACAAATTCCGGTGCTTCATGTGTATTTTAGTTTTCTTGTTGTTAGCTCTTTTCATGAAAAAAGTGTATATGCATATGGTTCTCAATGTTGAATATCCTTTTTTTTTCTGTATTTATTTGTCTCTTCTTTATGTCATTTTGGTAGTGCCATGCATGTCCTCTTCTTTATGCCATCTTGTCTCTACTTTTTGCTTTTTTTTCCCCCTCTAGTGAAAGCCTGAAAACAACCAAACAAAAAGAGATGGCAAATTGTGGAGAGGATAATAAAAATTTATCTTATCATTTGTCCCAATCAATTAAACTAATCTTAAAGTAATACAAAATAAGAATTTGAGAGAATTTTATATGTCTGTAATCTTCATAGTGTTTGTGATATGCTACTAGAATCCATTGCCAAATTTTATTTGTCCCTGCTGCATCTTTCGGATCCCTAGCTGAATGTAACATATACACAGTATTGAAATGGAAGAACTAAAACAGATGGTTTGCTTACTATCTTTCAACTACTTTATGAATAGCAACACTAGATTACATGATCCTAAAATGAATCGCAAGAACGAAAGAAATCTCTCTTATTTATTGGAAATCCCAACAAAAGCTGTGTAAAATTGATAAAAGAACAACGAGAAAAGCTCTAGGATTTGACCTATTTATAAGCTACAGCGTTTATTAGTCAAAAGAACGAAAAAAATAAAACGATGCGACTGACAAAGTCTGATGTGAAGACCGGTTATTGAACCGATGACGATCTTTGAGCTTCAGCAATCCGACAGAAACTAGAATAAGTCCGGCGCCATCTCCCTAAGCCATGCCCGGCCGCCGATGTCAGCTGGTCTTCAACTTCGCCTGCGGCCCTTCTTCCAGCAATCCCACTTGGCCAAAAACTGGTTTGATATGTTTTCTACGTCATCATGACCTCAGCTAAAAAGTTACAAAAGAGAGAAAGAAAACGATTAAAGAGGAATTTTCATCTCCTTTTTTCTTTTAATTATTCTTCTTTCACTAATCAAACTATATGACTTTAGAAAATTGTATTACAGAGAATGTATTTCATGAATTAAAAACATGGAAGGAAAAAAGGAAACAAAGTAATATAAAATATGAGTAGATTACGTTAATCTCCTCTCTAGTTTTTTGTAAAAGTTAGGTGCTTTCCCCTCTTCATTTTGGAATAACAAGAACTTCCTCTCTTTTTTGTTAGATAATAAAAACTTTTCCATCATTATTAAGGGAGAAAACTTAACTATTTTTGTCATAAACTCAATTCGAAGTCCCCATGTTCCCTTGCAATTACATAAGTATTTATTTTGAAGAAAAATTAAGAACAAGAGAGCGGAGCTTTTTTTTTTTTTTTTTTTAACTTTATAATCATAACCAATTGCTCACATGTAATTGTATAGCCATAAAAGTTGGCCCTTCATCATTTCTTTCCTTTATTTTTAGATTAAGTGTGTGTATTTTCAAAAGTAAGTCCTTAATAATTTTTCTCTACTTTACCATAAATAAGTTGATGTCTTGAATCTTTTACGTAATATTTATGTACATAAAACTTGAAATTTCAAAGGTACAATTGTGACACCTCATTTTATTGTAGTCTAGTTTGTTATAGAAGTAGATACACATGCAAATCTATTTATTTTGTTAGGTACGAACAAAAAATAAAATAAAAAAAATATCGGAGCTCTCCAATTTTCATGCATTAAAGTCACTTATTCTTGGTTTTTTTATTTTTCTTTTCCGAGAGAACTAATACTCTTTGTTTTGAAATAATTTCTTTTGTTTAATATGAGATAAAATGTAAAAAATTGAAATCAAAACTATTATAAATGTTTGCTTGATAGAAAACATTGATAAAGAATGTTTGTGTAAAAAAATAATAATAAGGTTTGTGTTATTTTGGCATTAATTAAGAGGAGAGGTCCTTAACTTTCGCAAAATCTAGTGGAGAGATTCACTAGAAATCTCTAAAAGAGCCTCATCAAAGTTTTATACTTTATCCTTATTGTTGTTTCTGTTGAAACATAATAGAAGAAGAAGGAAAAAATGGAATGACTAGCTTAGCCCAAGATGCTAGAGATCAAATACCTGCACCTACCGTGGTGATTCACGCACTATTGCAGCAAACGGATTGAAGCTTTTGACTACAGGCTGAAACCAAGTTGGTAGCCTAACTTATGGCCAGAGCTGAAATTAATTCATCCTATTATTTGATTTGACATTGATTTCCACTTTATATAACGATCAAATACTTTTGTGTAGGTACTGTATTAATTAATTAAATAATTCTGAATTTTTTGTTTTTTGTACACAAATGTAAACCTTTTGCATTAATATCTATGAAATTGATCAATATCTGCCTTCTTGTCTGCATAATTTATGTATGTTTGCCAATGAGCGCCAACTTTTTGAATGGAATCCAATTATTTAGACAAGTTTGTAGCAGTTTATTCTGATGAATTTCCCTTATATTTTCAAATTCCAACCAACTCTATGAACATATGTCTATATGGTTCTTTTTTTTTTTCCTTTCCTTTTTGGGTATTATATGTCTGTATCGTGTATATTAATGCTAGACATCGAAATATATACTACCATATCTCTCTCACTCAGTAACCTCAATCCTACTGAAATCCTCCCGTCTCTCTATCTCTCTCTCTCTGGAAGTCTGGACCAGCCATGGATTACAACACCAGGAAAAGTCTCTGCACCTTCATGGATGAAGAAAGAAAGGCCAAGCAATCCCCTCCCCGTCTCTCCTTTAAATCCTTTGAGGATTTTCTTGTTTAATTGGTCGAGTGGACAGCAACATAGAGATTGCGTTTCTTGCATGGGATATTATCATGCAGAAGGACTTTTGTATACTGGATCATGGGATAAAACAGTGAAGGCATGGAGGGTTTCCGACGGTAAATGTGTGGATTCATTTCTCGCTCATGAAGATAGTGTAAACGCAATTGTTATCAATCAAGAAGATGGATGTGTATTCACTTGTTCATCAGATGGTTCTGTGAAGATATGGAGGAGGGTTTATGACCAAAGCTCTCATACTCTCACCATGACATTGAAATTCCAACCATCCCCTGTCAATGCTCTAGCCTTGAGCACCTCACATAGCTCTTGCTTCCTGTATTCAGGATCATCAGATGGATTTATCAACTTCTGGGAGAAGGAGAAAATGTCTAGTCGATTTAATCATGGAGGGTTTCTTCAAGGACATAGGTTTGCTGTTCTTTCTTTGGTTGCTATTGAGAAACTAATATTCAGTGGATCAGAGGACACAACCATCAGGATTTGGAGAAGGGAGGAAGGGAGTTATTATCATGAGTGTCTTGCTGTCTTGGATGCTCATAGGGGGCCAGTCAGATGCCTGGCTGCTTGTTTGGAGGTTGACAAATTAATGGTGATAGGATTTTTGGTTTATAGTGCTGGCTTGGACCAAACTTTCAAGTTGTGGAGAGTGAAGGTTTTGCCTGATGAAAAGAATGTATGCATGGAAGGTACAGGTAGAAGTGATAAGATGAGGATTACAGAGTATGAGATGAGTCCTGTTCTGTCTCCTTCATGGGTTGAAAAAAAGAGGCAAGGTAATCCAACATGATGGAGTATTACCTGTTTCCCCTGAAGACAAGAGAAGGGCTTGAAATGCACTGGAACAGTATACTCTAGACTCCACCCTTCTAGTAGAAACAAATATGTATCCTTTTATCTATTTTTTTTTCTTTGGTTGATATCATAAGCATTATTGGTAAGATAATCATTCTCATCTCAAAAGAAATCTATAGCATTTCATTGCCTTACTCATATATGCTCTCGCATTTCGCCAGGGTTTTCAGGATATGGAATTTTTTGCCACTTTGACCCATGTTAACCATGATCATAATAGCAAATGTTTCATGTTTCATGTAAAGTAGGAAAGGCAACGAGGTATGGGATACTTCAATAGTAGCTAGCTTTAAGAGTCTGGCACTCCTTTCGTCTCAAAATTACAGCCATTTTTTCGCGAATTCAAGTTCTTATAGATGCAAGTAATGATTATAGTGCAGATGAGTAGTTGTAAGAAAATTTACAATTTAACCTTGTAATCAAATTATGTGCAGTGCCTTGGTATATGTTAAAGTTAATTTTTCAGTTGCAACATAGGTGATTAGTGTGTATACACATATGTATATATGAATGCATTTATGTGTGTGTGTGTGTGTGTTATGTCTTCAAATATATATATAAAAACATGATTTATGCATTAGAACATCAAAAAAGTAAAAACATGATAGTAACAATGGAGGGAGGAAGTCTGATCAATGAGACTTGAAACATATTATCTTCAAGAAGAGTAAGTTAACCACTACTCAAGACACTAAACCAAAGATTTATTTAATAAAAATCTAGACAAAAGCACAGGGAAGAAAGTTAGCAACACTTTTCCTTTTCCTTTTTTTTTTATGTTGTTCTCTTCCCTCTATATATAAGAATTTAAATATTTTTTCTTACACCCAACCATCAAAATTTGCAAAATTTTCCAGATAGAATATCAAGACACCTATAAGCGGTTACATTTTTCAACATCAAAATGGGGCCTTTTTACTTCATCTTACAGAGAACTACTAGTTACATCTCCTATACGCTTTTTCAGCACTCAAACAAAATCAAAAGAACCCTTAGATTCTCTCTTGTGGTAGCTATTAACATGAATCTATGCCAACGTCGTTATCTGCTTTAAAAGATACTAAAACTGAAGTGAATAAACCTATGGTTTTAGTTGTAGCTAAATTGTACAGATGGTAATGACTTGATAAGAGATTGTTATTGCCATTTATGAACTGGGAGATGGGCATTTTTTTTTCTTGCATAACTGGGGCCTAGGCCACTATTGCACTAAATTTAGAGATACACATTTAACACGAATGGATCTTATGCTCTTCACATCCCCAATTGGACAGTGAAACAACTGAAATGAGTAGTTATCAAAAATGATGGGGGGAATGGAAAAAATAAAAAAAAAAATTGTGCACTCAACCAAGTAGCACTGTCAAGTAATTGAGGTCGTTGTTGTTATTAATACAACTACTCGAAGCAATTATAACAGGTAGTTTCAGTATTTATTTTGATTGATAATTTTGACCCTGTATGTTGTTGTGAGCGCTAGTTTTTCTGTGCCCGGTATTACTTAACTTTAAAAGATTGGATAGGGCAGACTCATGATTCTGCATGTCAACTCTTTGTTTATTAAAGATAGATATAGTGCAAATACAGTTGTCCTGGATTTCCTTCAACATTTTCAAAAAATTTGAGTTAGGCCTCAAATAATGTCATGTAACTTAGTCCCTGATTTTCAGAATTTAGTTTTAAAGAGCCTTGAAATTAATACTGATGTCACTTATTGTAAACATGTGCAGACAGCGGGATGATGTCTATATTATACAAAAATTGCATCCCATGGAAAATTGACCAATTCAATCAGTAATATTTGCAATGTTAAGGGACTAATAAAAAGACGAACCAAAAGTTCACCAACTTTATGCCTAATTAATTTGTTGCTTACTTTTTATCTTATTCTTGCCCGTGTTAATTTACAAGAAGTGAGATCAATTAGAAGAATTTGTGGACAAATGTCGTTGAAGCTAATGAAAATTCACCTCCATATTTTGAAGTTTAGGGATCAAATAAGTCCCTATCAAATAAATGTTTAGGGGCATATATTTGAGAAGCCAGGAAATCCTGGCATTTGATGCTGGCAAGGTGATTTTGACCCTCCAATCAGTACCTCGAAAGGGACTTGAAGGCCGTCATAGTAGCCACTTGGGTGTGGTAGCTCGTTAGAAAAAAACCTTGTTATAAAATACCAGCCACAACATATTAGTCATATATAGAGCTGTTAAATGAAACGAGCAGCTCGAAAACTCAATTGAACTCGACTCGATAAGGCTCGAGCTCGACTCGTTAATTATGGTAAATGAATCTAACTTGAGCTCGAGATATGCTCGTTTAATTAACAAGTCGAGTAAGCTCAACTCGATTGTTATCCGAATAGCTAGATTATACTCGATAAGGAAGGATATATATGTCATTTCACAATTCAAAAGTATAAAAATTGAAAATTATAGGTTTTTATTTGGGTTAATTTGCACGAGCTTGAATTTGAGACACGTGTCCCATTTGGCGAGTTGAGTCCGAACACATTTCAAAGCTCGTCCACCTAGTCAAGCGAGCTCGAGCTTGGCTCGAGTCGAGCTGGGCAGCAAAATACTCTGCTCGACTTGGCTTGATTAACAGCTCTAGTCATATACTTATGAAATGTAATTGCTTGTTTTTTGACCTAACAGAAGGTACTAGGAAACATAGGTTACATATATTTTGTACAATAAGGAGAGGAGAAAATTTAGAATTCACTGAACTTAGATTACATAAAAAAATTACAACAGATACCTGATAAGCAAAACTCATCAAGGCTAACAGAACAAGTCTGTCCAAGGGCAACATATTACATATAGTGCAGGCTTTGGAATCAACCACAAACAACTTCCACAAGATCAGAAAGTTTCATCATTTGAAAGTGGCTCATGAGACCTAGCAATGAAGAAATTCTCATAGACGAAGCCTGCAAGCCCACCTCCAATAAGTGGGCCAACCCAGTAAACCCAGTGATCGGTCCAGTTTCCACTCACCAAAGCCGGACCGAATGACCTCGCAGGGTTCATCGAAGCCCCGGAGAAAGCCCCACCTACCATGATGTTTGCACCAACAACTAGCCCAGTAAGAAGTGGGCCCAGCCCATCAAGGTTTCCCTTCTTGGGGTCCACAATTGTAGCATAGACGGTGAAGAGCAGGGAAAATGTCAAAATAATCTCCATTATCACGCCTTGCGTGCAGTCTACCCCACTTGCAAGTGTATGTGGTGGAGTTGTCTGCGGAGAAATCAATGTAGAAACAAATTAAGTCCTATCAAAGTAGGAATCTTGGAGCATTTTGCTTTCTTGGTTTTGTCACTTTTGCAATTAAAATGCAAAGAGAATGCTAGGATGCTGGTAATAAAACAAAAGGCAAGTAGGAGGGAAAACAAAAGATATGGGGAGGATTGGATTCGATAGTAAAAAAGTAGGGATGATAACCAGAAAGTTTTGAAAAATAAGATATAAACACCGTATAAATAAAATAAAGATTTGCACTTTTCACAAACTACATGGTATAGGGGAGTACATAAATCAAGTTTACTTAAATTTTTTTAAATTAAAATAGCTTAGTTATACGGACAAATTTTTTGGTGGAATAAATAGACACAATAATTGCTAAGGGACCTTGGTCTATTAATATTTGTTGTCCTTTTGTTTCAACGACAGCAATATATTCTTACTTCTTGACTATGGAAAATGAAAAAATCTAGCTAGACTTTGTGTAGAGGTTGGTGGGAGAGAAAACCTACTTCTAACCTGTGTTTTCAAACTCGGACCGGACCGGCCAGTCCGATCGATTGAACCGGGAACCGGTCAAGTGTCCGGTCCGAGTTGGTCATCAGAACCGGGAGATTCAAGACCCGGTCAACTCCGGTCAAAAATCGGGTTTGACCGGGTTTGACCGGTACAAAACCGGAAAAACCGGTCCAACAGGAGTTTTTGTAAAAAAAGTTCAAACTTTTTTAATATTATGTTTTGACCCCCTAAATTGTGAAAACTTATTAATATACCTCAAATATTTCATACTTTATAAATATTGTCCTAAAATTTGATGTTATTTTTCAATTAAATCCATAATTTTAATTCTAAACTTGTTAATGTTTATTAAATAATATAAATTGTTATTTGATTGTTCTAATTTCTTTGTATTTTCTTGTTAAATATATTTGAAACATCAAATATATATGAATATACCTTTATTAATATCAATATGTTATTGGATATTTTATATACAATAATTTAATTTTTAAATAATTTTTATTTATGACGTCATCCGGTTCGACCCCTATCGACCCCCGGTCGAACCCATTGACCCCTGACCCCTGACCTCGACCGAGTCGATATCCGGTCCGGTTCTGAAAACATAGCTTCTAACAACACAAATTAATGAACTACTACACTTTCCAAATTTTTTTAAAAAAAGGGAAGTTTTATGCTTTCTCTTAATATATTGGATGAAATATGAACCTCCGATCTAGTATACTACGAGAAATCCTTGACTATTGGATCAAAGTCCAATGAAATCTTAGTATATTAATCAAGGTTAAGAGGTCCTAGGTCAACTCTCATCAAATTGTAAGTTTATTCTACCGTAGACCTCGTAATTCACGAAGTCAAATACCAAATTACAAAATGAGTGCAACAGTACTTACAAGTCCTCCGGTGAGATACTTGAGCAAAGCACAAGCAGCTGCAGAAGCTAAACACTGATCAATCCAGTAAAGGATTGATCGGACAACGGTGATATGGCCGCCGACACAAAGGCCAAGAGTGACAGCAGGGTTGAGATGGCCACCGGAAATGCGGAAGCCAGCCGAGATCATCACAGCCACCACCAAAGTGTGCGCCAATGCCACGAAAAACAGCCCCGTCAGCGGACTCCCACTGAGTTTATCTGCCCAAGAAAATCAATGCACAAGGCATATGTATACTTTGAGTTTCTTGATTGACAACAATCATTCAGGAGTTTGATCTTGGGTTCCTAAAAATCTTATCAAATTTTAATCTTTACATTTTGAAACCAAATATCAAACGAAAAAAATTCATGTCAAGCGTCAATTTGAACATGTTTCGACGTCATTTGGTCACGCCGACACCCTGTGCAAATAAATCGAGATCATACCTGCAGTCATGGCTGATCCAACACCAGCAAAAACGAAGAGAAAGGTGACAATGAATTCAACAACCAGAGCTTGAAAGACATCAGGCTGGATTGCCTCCCGGCCGTTTCCAAGAGCGATTTTGGCCATGATCTGAGTCACCAGGAAAAAAAAAATGGTGGCCTAAGCTCAATGCTCAGTGCTCGTGCCTAATGACTAGTGAGTCAGAAGTGAGTATTAGCCAGTAGACACCCGTGGCGAAAGACCTGCAAATATTCAGGATTATATAAAGGACAAGAAGTGAGATTAAGATTCCATTAT